GCATCTATGCTGATCACACAACCATTCATTCCTGTCTTAATAGTAAGTCTGATCCGCCTGATAAGGTCAAATTGGCAGCTGATCTCAAAAAATTATCTAATTTTCTCATGGCTGATGCTAACCTCCAGGAGAGTTATTCATAGAGCCTTTTCGGAATAACATTTTGCGCTGAAGTGAAGTGGAAAAATTATATTGAATCAATTGCTAGGTCTGCAACCGAGAAAGTTAATTCCGTGTGGATAGCTAATTCCAGTTTTGTCTTTGAGTACGTTGTCCCGGACTCAAAGACAAAACTTACCAGAGTCGCAGACAAGAATTACTTCTTTTCTTATCTGTGGGTCACAGCGTACATTTGTGGTCACCAATAGGAATCGCCGTCAACCTAAGATATAATAAGATTTTGGAAAACCCGAATCAACCCTACCGAGAACCCCCCCCCCCGCCCAACCGAGGAAAGAAAAAAACAACAACAGTATGGTCGGTGTTACTCAACAAAACTAACGACTAGCGCCTGAAGAAGAAATGGGGTTCAGAATTACATATAAATATTTCTAAAATCCGTGCAAGTACTGAACTCATTTCAAATTGTCGAAATTCTTAACCTAATGTCGTAGCAATTAGTAACTGTTTTCACTCTGAATCACCTCATTATATTTTTAAACATTTCATTCCAAGCAAGGAAATAAAGCCACTAAGACTCAAAGAGCTATTGCGTGTTAGTGAATATGATAAGAATATACCATTAAGGAGAGAAGAAAATAAAATAAAAAAAGTATTAAGAAGAAAGAAGATAACGATTAGCATTGCATTTAAATCCTTGAAGATCAAAGTTGACTGAGAATTAAAAAAAAAAAAAAAAAAAAAAAAAAAGGAAGAGAGTTCGATAAGTGAGAAATGTGAAAGAAGATACTGTTAGCATAGAACTTACGGTTACATCTCGTCATTTCAACTGTAAAATGATGAGACCTATCCGCCAATCTAGTAGTGCGCTTAAATTCATAAAGTCTAGACAAGATAGCGGAAAGAAAGGCCAGGAGAATCTGACACACACAAGACATGATGAAAGCAAGAAGGACAAAGTAAAACACCGAATAGCCTACTCATGAAAGGCAATAAAGCCACCCGGACGCAAGGGAGGGTTACCGAGTGTGAAAGAATATGAAAAAAAGAAAAAAACACTAATAAGGAGAGAGAACAATAAAAGAATAGAAATAAGGAAGACAGAAGATAAGGATGGATGTTGTATTTAAATTTTTGAAGATCAACGATGACTGGGAAGTAAGAAGCCGGAAGAAAATTTCACAAGCTAGAAGTGTGATAGAAGAAACTGTTAACATAGAACTTACGGTTACATCTATCCGTTTCAACAGTAAAGTAATGAGACCTATCCGCCAATCTAGTAGTGCGCTTAAATTCATAAAGTCCAGGTCCATCAATTAGAATGTTCATCAATAGAAGCAACTGAATGTTCTAAACTATATATTTTTTTCTTTTTTTTTTTTTGAAATTTTGAAGATTTTTAGAGAAGTTTTCTCCCTTACCTTTGCCCATAGAGTCAACAACAGAGAAGGAAAAAAATGAATAAATATATATAAGAACTAACCCACTATTCGGTTCGATATTAGTCAAAACATTTACGTAGCATATATGGCAGCGAGACAAGCTTACCCATGATTTTTGTAGTATGTGGTTAATGTTTTGTAGATGGATCGAACGAATTAGTTATACTAAATAGCTGAAGGTTATTAGTTATACTAAATAGCTGAAGGTTATTAGTTATACTAAATAGCTGAAGGTTATTAGTTATACTAAATAGCTGAAGGTGGGTATAGATGTGACACTTTTTGACTTATTTCTTGATAACTGACTTATCTACTTACTTGAACTAGAATTGGTTAAATGACTGAAGTGAATCATTCACATAGGAATTATAAATAGTTACCCATGAGGCAGTTGAGTGCATACTACTTCCCGTGAGTCAGTAACACTACAATGACACCATTAGTAACTGAAGTGCAGCCAAGCTGTCCCATTTAGTCAGTCCAGGGCATCTATTAATTTTTCAAGACAATCTTTTTAGTCTGAAAAAAAAGTCTTATGCTGCAATTCCAGTCTGCGAAAACTTTATAAATAGAAAGATCCACACCTGCAGATAGTCACTAAGGCTCATTTCGTCACCTGGTTGATAGAGATACGGAGTTAAAAAGAAGAAACTGACTTAGAAGAAGGAAGTTGTTACAGTTGTAAGACTAGTAAAAGGTTTGAAAGTAGAGATAGACGTTTGCTCCAGTTATAAACAAAAAGAAAACGGAATCGTTGTCGTAAATGCCAATAATAAACACTTGTTTCTTATCATCAGGACGTTATTGTGATTTGAATTCATTTTCAGTACTACGAGCCTGTCGGGTATCCAATTCGACAGGTAAACACAAAACCAGTTGCAATTTAACAACATAACATGTCTAATTGCAACAGTGGGAACATATTACATCTGGTGTGGTAGTATTCACAACTGGTCACTCTCCCGAGAACCAACGAGATTTGCCACAGATGAATGTAATACGGTAGCGATAGTGAAGATTTCCTGGAGTCTTTGTAGCCTGTCGAATCGTCGGTTTTATAGCATGACAGCAAATGAGGACCTATTACAAACTACCAAATATTTAAGGCCATTTTTTCGATGGAAATTCTAAAGGAAAATAAAACATAAACACCATCATTTCATTACTTTGACCCCTGCCCTTCAACAGAAATGTGTAAATGGATGGCAAAACAGGGACTGGAAGTGGTAGTAAGGAGGCAAACATTGCTTAGAACTTCAAAGGACAGGAAGTTGTGGAGAGCCATCATCACCTATCTAACAAGCTTGTTTAAATGGATGGCAAAATAGGGACTGGGACGGATAGTAAGGAGGCAAACATTGCTTAGAAATCCAAAGGATAGGAAGTTGTGGAGAGCCATGATCACTTATCTAACAAGCTTGAGTAAATGGATGGCAAGACAGGGACTAGAAAAGTTAGTAATTAGGCAAACATTACTTAGAAATCCAAAGGATAGGAAGTTGTGGAGAGCCATGATCACTTATCTAACAAGATTGTATAAATGGATGTCAAAACAGGGACTAGAATGGATAGTAAGCAGGCAAACATTGCTTAGAATTTCAAAGGATAGGAAGTTGTGGAGAGCCATGATCACTTATCTAACTAGCTTGTTTACATTGATGGCAAAACATGGATTGGGAAGGATAATAAGGGGATAAAAACTGCTTAGTTCTTCAAAGGATAGGAAGTCGTGGAGAGCCATGATCGCCTACGTCCTGAAGAAACACGGTACATAAAAGAAGCATGTCACCTAAATTCAAAGTCACGTGACTATCGAGTCAGTTTTCTTTATCTTATATGTAATGAAGGGTTGCTAAGATTTACGAGCTGGTATTGCTCAAGTATGGATGACCAAAAACGACAAAGCCTAATATTACTCATGATGACAAAAGTGTTTTACCAATGTTGAAATGCTTTCACGTGATAGGCAACACACGAGTGAGTCCGTAATTGCTATCGAGTCGGCCGCCATTAAAAATGGCTCATTTTTAAACAATGCTTTTGCAACGAAGTTTCTGTATCGGTTTGTGTCGCCTGACACACAACCGCTGTCGATTCTTTGTGGCGTTTAATACAACCGTTTGTCCCCACCCCCACCTCCTGAGGGTCACATTCCTACGAATACCTGACAAATTTCATAAATGGCACACAGGACATCTTTCTCAATACACCGTACCTCGTGCAAATGACCTGACAAAGGAAGGCGCGATTTGCTATTGTAATAAAACGCGTAATCAGGCGTCAATATTGTGTGGACGCGCGTACACACACACACACACACACACACACACACACACACACACACACACACACACACACTTTTAAGTCCCTTCAGGACATAGATGTTTGTTCGCTTTATTTTTTTAATATTCGTTAATTATTATGAAGGAGCGGAGATACTGTATCTACCTGTGTATAAGTCGACTTATGTATACAGTGGGTTTCCTGAATTTTTTTGGCATGAATTTAACCCCTCCTGAAAATTTTTTCAAAAAAACTTACCTATGTATAATACGCTCCCCCCAATTTTTTTCATTAAAAAACTGATCTTAAAACTCGCACCATACTTAATTATATACGATTAGTTGGGTATCTCGAAGCGGTGTAATGGTTAACCAGCTTCTATCGCTTGATCAATTACGACTGAATAGTGATTTCGATCCTCACTGGGCGCCCCCTACTTTCGGCCTTGTGCCACATCTAAGATACGCATGTAAAATCCTTAAGGCACCTCGAGGCGGTGTAATGGTTAGCAAGATTGTCTCGCTAGAACAATTACGACTGAATAGTGAGTTCGATCCTCAATGGGTGCCCCCTACTTTCGGCCTTGTGCCACATCTAAGATACGCATGTAAAATCCTTAAGGCACCTCGAGGCGGTGTAATGGTTAGCAAGATTGTCTCGCTAGAACAATTACGACTGAATAGTGAGTTCGATCCTCACTGGGTGCCCTCTACTTTCGGCCTTGTGCCACATCTAAGCTACGCTTGGAAAATCACTATATACGGTTGGTTGAAATTAAAACAGAGGTATAATTCCTCTAAAACGTCAACTTTTCGGTCAAACCTTATAAAATATCGTTTATAAATGTTAAAATATAAAACAGATTGCGATTGTTTTTGCTTAGTGGCATATCAACACCTCTATGGGTTATTTAATGCCGAAATCTAAATATTTTGTATGCAATTTTATTTATTTATTTAATTCTTTATGATAATAATGGTTTAATGATACATGTCTTACTAATTAACCCATACCTGGAGGGAGAAGAGGTGGATTCATACCTTTCCTTAGGGTTTTTATGCGTTAGTGAATATAACAAATCTACTTGGAATTGGAACTCAGCTCTCTGATTAACAATTCCGAGCCACTCTCCATTACACCACCCGCACGTCCAAGCATACAGCTCCTGTTATTCCCAAGCAGTTACCCATCTAGATACTGACCAGGCTCGGCGTTGCTTTACTTCGGTGATCGTATGGGAACCCGTGTTTCAACGTGACCGTATGTCCGCAATAAAATAGAATTAGCAATAAAAACGAGGTAAAGAAAAGTTTCCAAGTAGACTCCAACGACCCTCAAGGGTTCATCGAAAAACTTATCGCTTAAGACGAGTTCCACCTTTTCTTTTTCGACAGTTAATTTCACCATATCTCCGCTTCGTCATACTGTATTTATATATTTTGTACGTGTCAAGACATTGTTCTTCAGAAAGAGAGAGGAGTCGTTTCCTGCTTTCCTTGGCTTTTCCAACCAAAAGGCGGGAGAGTCTAAGCGACATTACTGTTTAATCCATAGCTGAGGGAAAAGAGATGGTGCCAAAAACATTACAAATTGTATCACTGATCAGAACCTTTTTTTTCAAGATTTGTAATGATTGACCAATTTTCTTCGAGGTAGAAAAATATATTTTTCTTATATTCTTTTTTATGCCAAGTAGGCGATCATGGCTCTCCACAACTTCTTGTCTATTGTTTTTTTGTTATTACTTTTGATCTTTGTTCGGCTATCTCAATAACTTTTAACCCTTTGCTATCTCTTGTTGTCCTTGTTCTGCGTTCCATTAATATGCCATGTCGAGTCAAGATGTGGATGATCATGGCTCTCCACAACGTCCTGTCTTTTGTTTCTTTAAATAAATTTTGTCCTTTTACCATTCCTCTTTGCACTTGTTTTGCTATTCATTTATTTCTTCCTTTATGTGATATATCCATTCAAGACATGTGTGATCATGGTTCTCCACAACGTCCTGTCTTTTGTTGTTCTAAGTAAATTTTGTCCCTTTATCACTCCTCTTTGTCCTTGTTCTGCTATCGATTCACATAAATTGGTTAACTAGGTTTCTCGCTGTTTACTCCTGATTCTTCTGCCTTCGTTATATCCTGTGAGTGTTAAATTCTCTGAGCACTCTTTCCTCTTTATATATCCCAGAAAGACTATATCTCTCTTTCTGATCGTAATTTCATAGTTTCCTTGTTTTATTTTTCTTTCTCAAAACTTCCTCGTTGTTCACATTTTCTATCTATGTTATTCACAGCATCTGTTTGTTGCTTCAACTCTGTGAAAAGATTGTTCAGCATTCACTGCTACATAGACGATGGGTAAATACCGGGTGTAACAGCAAAATTGTCCACATTGTGTGACATCATAATTGTTCATTCCACAAAATGTTTAATAGCTAAAAAAACACTGAACTAATTGAGTTTCTTTTTACCAGTTTTTCAGATAAGATGTTTAGCCATATTGACACCATCTTTCGAAAGAATCACTGAAGAACCTTTTGAGTTATTCAGCTAAAAAATAGAACAGGTTTAAATTGTTCTATGTCAGCCCTACTCTCTTCCCAAATGAGCAATGGCGAGAGGAAAAAGATCATTCAGGTCTTCAGTAAGGGTACCAACATCCATACCCTGGTTTCCATCTTCAAAGTCCATTCAAGAACAATCAAGAGAACGGAGAATGTTTTAAAAAAGAGGGAACAGTTGAGAGGAAAACTGGATCAGGAGTTCACAACAGGAAAGGGATCATCATTTTAACTTAGAGCTAAAGAGATCAATTAGAAAAGATCCAACTCAATTCATAAGACGTTTGGTACGTGAAAGAGAAGTTTGACAGTCCAAAGAACAGTGAAAAAGACTTGAAAATGCAATCATACCTAAAACCTGTAAGGTAGCTTGTGACTCCAGGACAGAAGGTTAGAAGGTTAGAGAGGGCGAAGATAATCTTGATTAAGTTGGAACATGATCCTGGAAATATATATATATATATATATATATATATATATATAGTCTTAAGATGTGTTATATTTACAGGGTAAAGTGCCCAATATCAGAGATAGAGCGTGTGTAAATATAAAAGTGAACATAGAAGTCAACACTTAGAGGCGACAGCCTGTTTCATGCTAGATGCAATCGCCAGGCCCTGACGATTGCATCTAGCATGAAATAGCCTATCGCCTCTACGTATTGACTTCTATTTCTATGTTCTCTTTTATATATATATATATATATATATATTTGAACTTTATTTCAATCCTTCATGAGCTTCCGATCCTTAGCTATGATTAATTAATGATGAACATGTCCTTTTCATTTATGATCGCTTTCATCATGATTCTTCTGTTAATCTTGGAGAGTAATTATACATTCTTATGGCTCAAAGTAGAGTCCAATAGTGTTATAAAAAAAACTCGGTGAATTCCAGTAAGATATCTTTAATCATTTCTAAGATACAACATTTCAGAGCTTAATCTAACAATTGGACAATTTTGCTTTTAAACGATTTGGATAATTTTGCTGTTACACCCGGTGTGGAGCCTCTTCCCTTTAAAACTGATATACCTTTCGCCCTCCCCTTACCATCAGCTCAGGCATTTTGTCAAGCTGAGGCGTCGAAATGGATATGTTATGTATCTATTTTTTGACTGCTGTCAAAGGTAAATTTTAAATTTCTAATTCCGACACGAACACAGTCTATACACCGGGGTTGAATAAGACTAACGTACTTTCGGTGTTTGAAATAGATCTATATGCTCCCTCCCCATATGAGGTAATTTTGAATTTTGTTGTGTAATACTGAATAATTTGTTTTTTAAACAAAAAAGTATATTTAATCACATCTCCGTAATAGCTGCCGCGATATGTAAATAAAATTACTCGTTAAATACAAGATTTATCTCCCCTTGACACTGCAAAGTTGATTTTTTAATAAAAGTTATATATCTATTGATTATTGTGTTATTTCGTCTTTTTAATACAAATCTATCTATAAAAGGCAGGATGTGTATGTGTGTGTGTGTGTGTGTGTGTGTGTGTGTGTGTGTGTGTGTGTGTGTGTGTGTGTGTAACGAATGCACGGCCGCAATTTTCGACGGATTTGCACCAAAATTTACATGCACATGCTCCAAGTTAGCGGGAAGGCCAAGACCGACTTTGCATTTCCCAACTCCCATCGTTAGTGGAAATAATCGATTTTTTTCATGCTTCTACGGCAGTTTTCATATAGTTTGCGGCCATTTTCTACTGGACAGAGTGAGAGCCAATAGCTGGCTGCCACGAATAGGCAGGAAGATTCTATTGGCCAGCGTGAGAGCTAACAGGTGACTGACACAAATGTTAGCTAGCATGCCTAGCATGCAAAAAATATCGATAGCTGCATTCGTCACAAGTGGGAAAAATTTAAATCTGCATGGCACTTTACTCCAATTGGCTCATTCGCTTGCTTGAACTCAACGTTGCTTCTGATTCCGCAGAACTGGGTTGGGTGTGAAAAAGTATTTGTTGTTAACATTCTTTTTTCATTCGGTTTTTCCAGTTACGAGTCCTTTTTTTTTTTTTTGATCGTTTTGTGTTCATTTTGTTTAGTTCTTTTTTCGTAACAGATTTAATGTTTAGTATAGAGCTTAGAAAAAATTCGCAGTGTGAGATAGGCAAGAAGTAAGGCATGTAGCAACATCAGCACGGAAAAGGGCACTCCTTTAAAGGCAAGGAAGGGCAAAAATATTTTAAGTCAAGTGATAGCGATTGCCGTATGAGTCGTACGATTTTTGAATCAAGCACGGGCAACGCCGGGCCATGCCGCTAGTTATATATAGGATATCTTTGAATTATTATTATCATTTTATACTTGTAATGTCAGTTATTGTTCAGTTCCTGATGAGGCAGAGATTGAACAGCTGGATAATAGTAACACGTGTGTAACCAACTCCTACATCCATCATGCCATCTTCCCGAAGGAAGTAGTGTTTTTGGTATATATATATATATATATATATATATATATATATATATATTTATATATATTTGTATTTGCGATAGAAATAATTTGTAAAAAGGATTAGAAAGAAGTAAATCTACATTTTTTTTAAGGGATTATTGAAATTTTATTTAAGTTTCCACATGTTCTCCATCATTAGCAATACAAAGGGTAATACGATTTTGCAGTTCACGGAAAACATTTGCCAACTGATTTACAGTAATGCCTGAAATCACATTAGTTATTTTAGCTATACTTAAAACTAGGTACATTAAACTTTATAACATTTTTTACAGATTATATATATATATATCAAATTGTTTCGACATTTGGTTATCATACCGAGTTCGTATTGCTTTTCAAAATATATATTATTTTCTGTTTCATTCTTATAGTTATTTGTAGCTACTGTTCTCATCTTGGCTAGTATAGATGTTATTAAATACACAACGTTTCGGTCAAGTACCCACTGTTCATCATCAGATGTCCATTGTTTTGGCTGACAGGATATATCTGTTGATTATTTTGTTGTTTCCTCCCTTTCGTGCCAATTATAGCTCCTGGTTCGGTAGAAACGAACAATAACTGACGTAGAAAAATTATATTATTATTCACGCAGTACAAGACCCAAGAGCCATTCAAAGTAGATCTTTGCTGAATGAGGTTGATTGGACATATAAGGATGAAGTAAGAAATTCAGATTATGACGATAAAAGTTATATAACGACTGATACTGGCCGTGAAGAGAAATTCTCGCGACCAGGGAAGCATCATCTGGGGAGTTTGTTCCAGACAGTAACACTTCGGTTTAAGAAGATTTGGGAGTTGAACTTCCTGCTTACAAATGGAATACAATAGCCTAAAGAATTAAAGTTGCTTAGTGAATATAGTAATTGTGAGTTCAACCCCCGGCCTGGGCAGTGTGAACTTGGACAAAGTGGAAACAGAGGAAGCAATAGCAGAGCATCTTTCTCTTATTCTGAGATGAGGTATTGTAATTATTTACACTATTTACATTCTTCGAACTGTTGTCCTCATCTTTGTTGTTATATTCTCTTTTTTTTTCTTCCTGGGAAAAAAAGCATCAGAGCGAAGTAGCTGGGCGCCTGTCCCGCTTCTCATCTACACAAACGTTTGAGTGAGGCCGACTCAAACATCGGGATCAACTGCGGGAACAAATAATAAAGAAAGTTAGCAACATGCTGCCCCCTCTCAATGATAGCCTTACCTGCCATCATAGCTTTTGGACACACACAGAGTA